GAGAAACTGCAACTTGTCCAAGGTCATCGACTGGGATTCTACTTACTTACTTAGCCCAAGGATGATGGTCCTCCAAGTGTAGTGTCTTGGCAGCAGGTCCGTAGGTCACTTTGGAGCCCTATTTTTGATCCGCATTTTCTTCTGCAATGAGAACATTGGTTTCCAGGTGGAAGGTAGTCCCAGTCAGGGTTGGCTTGACACGCCTTCCTTTTGGTGCGTTTCTGCCTTTCGCTTCCATTTGTGCCTCTTCTAATTCTGCAGCACTGTTAGTCGCAGCTGACCTCCAGTTAGAGTGCTCAAGGGCCAGAGCTTCCCAGTTCTGAGTCATTGAGCAGAAATTAAACCCTGGACTTCAAAGTATGAGTTCAACACCTAAACCATATATACTGCCATGTATATATGGTAACTGGAAAGTCTTGAGAAGAATAGTGTTCCCCAGTCCCACCACAGTTGCTCAAATCTGAGGTATGAGGTGGACACCAAATGTTTAAGAAGGGTATAAAACACCTACATTTCTGAAGCTTGTGCAAGTTTTCAAATCTGGACAGGCAAGTCCCAGAGCAATTTGTCATTCAGCAAACTGATTGCCGTTCTCAATGGTAGCTCACTGGGAGCTTGATAATTTTTCTATTTTTGCTGGTTTCCTGTTGTTGCAAAAAACAGAGGTGGAAGACCTGGCACTCACATGGCAGGACTGCTGGGCTGCCTTTCGCTCAGTGTGTTGCAAGATAGGCAAGTCTGCCCTAGAGTTATATGTCTGTATTTCCATACATATTGTTAAGTCGGGATAATAGGGTTTTGTCTCTAGCTGCTGTGGCACAGCTTCTGTGTATCCCCATGTCAAATTTGCTTCTTTCTAAAATGAAGTACAACACCACCTGCCAACTTCACAAGGCAATTCTGGGGCTTATTTTATTAATTAATGTTTGCAAAACTCTTTGAGATTTTCTGATGAAAGGAGCTATTAGACATCCAAAGTTTTAATTATTAAATAGCATTATGTCAGTTCCACATCTGCATTGTTTGTTGTTGATGTAAGATAGAAGTGATATGAACAGACAAAAAAGGAGGGAGAGGGGGGAAAATCATAGAGCTTGCAACATTGCAGTCCTAAATATTGATAGCAAAGAAAAACTTTACAAAAAGGTTTCATAACATTAATTTCAGTGCTTTCATTACTAGTGTCTATTATGAATTTCAATCCTCCTCCAATACTGAAACTTTTAACACCATCTATAAAGCAATGGTTCTCAACCTTTTTTTTGACCGGAGACCACTTGACCAGGGACTATTTTGACTAGGAACCACTCTCCAACATTAGTACAAAAAGGGTTACGAATCAGTTTTTGGTTAACTTTAAATTCGGTTTGGGGTGCTAATTCAGAAAATTGCATTGGATAGACCACATAAGGTCTAGTTTCTGATACAGAACATATGCCATGGTCAGTGACAGGGAAGGAGTGGCAGGTGGCATGAAAGGAGCAGAAATAAAATAAAATAAAATAAAATGAGGAAGGAGGCTCGCGGGCCAGATTTTCGTCCTTGCAACCTATTGGTGGTCCACGGCCCACAGGTTATGAACCAATGCTATAAAGCTTGTAAAAGTTACGTTTGAGGCTATAGGTCCAAAATCCAAGCTGGGAACTATATCCCAAAAAAGTAACTTTTGTGGGCTCTGTTGGCAATAGATTACTGCATGCCTATTGGACTGTTGGCATCCTTTTGTGTAGACAACAGAAATCAGAGCATGTTGTCAATGACAACAGCTGCTTTAGGAATGTGCTTCAAAACTAATTCCTTGGACCTATTATACCAGAAATGTCAGACTTGTGGCTCCCCAGATGTTTGGGTCTCCAACTCCCAGAAGGCCTAGCCAGCTTGTCCAATGTCCAGGAATTTTGGGGGCTGAAATCCAAAACACCTGGGGGGGGGCCACAGGATTAACACCACTGCATTATACAATGTCTATGAAAAGAGCATCTAGTACCACCCTCCTTCTGCCTTCCCCCCCACAAAGTCTATACCAATGTACCTGGAAATGTACTTGAAAATGTGCATAAGGACAGTGGCGGAAACTCCCAAGAATTGATGGAGAGTATTTTCCACCAGTCTTGAATACAACATAGGGTGAATGGTGAGATATAAATCAAATAGATTACACAAAAGATAAATGATAGATAGATGATAGATAGATAGATAGATAGATAGATAGATAGATAGATAGAGATAGATAGATAGATAGATAGATAGATAGATAGATAGATAGATAGATAGATAGATAGAGGTAAAGTTTTCCCCTGACATTAAGTCTAGGCGTGTCCGATTCTGGGGAGTGGTGCTCATTTCCATTTCTAAGCTGAAGAGCCACCGTTGTTCGTAGACACCTCCAAGGTCATGTGGCTAGCATGACTGGATGGAGTGCCATTGCCTTCCCACAGAAGTGGTACCTATTGATCTATTCACATTTGCATGTTTTTGAACTGCTATGTTGGCAGAAGCTGGGCCTAAAAGCAAGAGCTCACCTTGTTCTCTGGATTCGAACTGCCAACCTTTCGGTCAGCAAGTTCAGCAGCTCAGTGGTTTAACCCGCTGTGCCACCAGGGGGTCCTAGATAGATAGATAGATAGATAGATAGATAGATAGATAGATAGATGATAGATAGATAGATAGATAGAAGATGTTCCCAGAACAATGTGAACATCTTTTCACCAGTAAAAAAAATATGTTCACAGAACCACAATTTCCTGGTGGACATACTTCTAATGGGAGATATTGCTCTGGGACTGTGGCACCACTCACCTTTGTATTATCTCACATTTAGGTTAGTTTGTGGGAACTTGGAGTCCAAGGGAAGGGAAGAAAGAGGAAGCACTGAGAAGAAAAACCAAGTTAGAATTCTTGCAGAATTTCTTCAGTTACACAAATAAGAATATTTAATTCAGCCCTTCCAGAATTTTGTATTACTGCTCCAGTTCAGTTTGAATGCTCATAAACAAGAAAAGAGCAGTCAAAAGCATTTGGCTTATTGGTCTTCAATAAAAAAATTGCACTTCTGGTCTTGTAGAATTAAAGACACCAAACCATAAGTTTCGGTCTACCAGCTGCAGAAATGCATTTATCATCCGGCAGTCATGGGGCTGTTTCTCTCAAAATGTTGGCAATCAACTCAACTCAAGGCTTTCTTTGAATTATTAGAAAACTGCTCATCTGTAGAGACTAGGAATCTTTCCTCTCTCTATGTGCATTTGTCAATCAGTTTGCCTACTTTGTATTAGCAGTCACAACACTGCCCAGTGTTTACAATCCAGGAAATATTTACTGAATTAACAGTTGTCTTACTGATAATAGTAGCATAGTACTGGCATTAATATTGACTCATCATACTTCCAAAACATGTTTTTAATAAATCACTTCCCCCTTACTGAAGATAAAATATAACTTGCTCCCATCTGTCTGTTTTTATTATATTTTGCAATGTTATTGTGTTTTGTTTTCTTTCAACTGCTGTTAGTGGCCTAGAATGATGTATAAACACTACAGCACTAGGAATACACACACACACATAAATATAGTATGTATGAATGCATTATGTTTTTAAAAGGCAAACAACCTGTTGGTTTATGTGTGGGTTGTACCATTTTTCTAGTTTGAATGTTGACACGATTCTACATTAGTTAAGGGAAGATCGTCTATGATGTAATATATATGTAGTTGTCTATGAACAGCTTCAAACTGTTTCAGTTCAGGAAAACAGCAGCAATGGTGTAATCAGTTGGAAGGATAGTAGCTCTGAAGGAATGTCATAGGGAAGATAAGATGACATGTTAAAAATGTTTTAAAAGCTATAAGGATTACCACCTTTTCTATAGCTGCAATCCCATGCACACTAGTTCTATTGAACAAAGAGCAATTATGCTTAGTCTCAGAATGCTGGAGTATTGTTCACATACAATCAACCCTCTCTTTCTTTTAGAAAACCAGAATCTCCATAGCCTTTTGGAAGCATGACTTTTTTGGAGATTAATTGGCATTCACACCATTTGGAATGATCGTAACCTTTTTATAAAGTATGAAGTTCCTGAGAAGAGTTAAAAACTTATTTGAGTGAATCTTCTCTTTAGTGGTATATATCCACTAGCATTCATGCAAGGCAATTTAGGTTTCTCAGTTGTTAGACTGATATACCTGGTTATCGCTCTGAACTGTTAGGAACAAAGATTATGCCATTGCACAAAATATATAGCAGATCTTCAGAAGTGTTATTTCAGTTGCCCTAAAACAGCTACTCTCCCTTAAAGCATATTGTTTCTAAATCATGGCACTTAAGAGACAAAAATAAGTAGTCTTTGTTAAAAGTAACATAGTTGATTTACTTACAAACTTTGTGCATTCAGCAAAATTGCTTATCAGTTGAAAGTTTAAACATTAAGTTCTCTAAGGCATTATGTCTCAGTCTTTTCTCTGTTGCATACAATGCAGAACTCAAGCAATCTGATATGTTACTGAACATACTCTAAACACTGACAACATTACTTCTAAAATGGAGTCTCAGTCTGAATAATCCCAGATCTGATCACATGGTCTGCAGTCTCTCCCACAACCTCAAATAACATAGAGTTAAGGGGAAATTGCATACCAATATACATATATACAATATAGTAAACAATCTAAATTAGATACATAACAAATAACTAGTATAGGAGGTTTGTAGAAGGTTGATATTACCAACAGTCTCCATAAACTCAGTATCCACGGATTCAAACATCTGCAGTGTGAAAATGTTTTTTTAAAAATCTGAAAGGCAACCCTTTGCTCTTGTATATGAAATACACTTTTACATGACTGTTGTATATAATAGGATTTGAACATCCATGGATTTTGGTCTCCACAGAGGATCTTGGAACCAACCCTGAGTTGTCATCGGAAGCAGCTGGAGAAAGAGGTGTGGGAATATTATCTTCCACTGACCTCTCACTCAGGCGGTTACTTCACATGCTGCTATGACCACCACGACCATGTTCAAGGTGATGGACCCCAGCGGACAGAGCAGCTCCAGGGTTCTTTGCCCAGGGTTCTTTGGAGCCAATTGGTGGTGGCTCCAATTTTAACTTGGGATTTGATTTACCAAAGGATCAACAAAGAGGCAGAAAGAACAAGATGGCATCCAGTATCTTTGGGACCCCAGAAGAGAATCCACCTTCCTGGGCCCAGTCAACAGAATCCAAGCCCAGTGATGCCAATGAAAGTTCTGAACCTCTTGGGCTGCAGAGAAGGAACTCTTTTGATGCAAGCTTTGGTGACTGCATGGGCCCAAAGGACAAGGAAGGAGAGGCTCCTGAAAACACAGAGGTCGAAACAGACTTTGCTTCAGACCCAAGTGAAGAGATGTTCCCGCTGGCGTCACCCATGCCTAGCCCAGTAGCTGCATTGCCTGTACCATCTAGAAGAAATCCACCTGGTGGAAAGTCCAGCTTAGTCCTTGGTTAAACCTGATCACTTGATCATTTTTTGCTTCTTCAAACTACTTGGAACTCAAGTCTGTTATCTTTGCTTTTTCTTCCATGCTTGTGAACTGCACAACTTAAGTCTGAGTGTACTTCTGAAACTAGCATTAAAGAAGCACTTTATGTACTTCAAAAAAAGAAAAAGGAACCAACCCGCAGCAGACACCAAGGGTCCACAGTATCTGAAATTTCCTGTTAGAAGAAATGTGTTCATCTTGAAGATTACATTACAAAGCTGTAGCCATTTGATACCAATTTCTCATGGCTGCATTCTATAGTATTGTAGAACCAGTAGTTTGGTAAATTTCAGAATTTTCACGTTTCCTTTTCTGTATTCTGTTTTGTGGTGTATTTTCAAATAAAATGATTAAAAAAGACATCTGTGTTAAAAAGCTTTGCCATTGTAGTTCAAGGTAGTGCAGAAGATCTCTGTAGGGGAGATTCTGCCTACCCCTGAAACAACACATCCCAGGATTCCATGTAGCAATGTCAAGCTAAATTGCTATGACTGGTAGTGTAGATACACTCTGTGTTGTTTCTATGATCTATGGATGATTACTCAAGGGAAACAACAGCGGGGGGAGGGGGAATAAAAGGTTAATGCAGAGAAACAGGGTGCTTTCGGATGCAATTACCTTGCCTTTTTCATGGATGTTTTCGTGGGGAGGGAATACAGATAATGGTGGCAATTTCTATTTGTAATCCTCCTGTATTTCCCCATCATTTCTTCCATCTTACTTCTTGCCACAAATATCAATTTAGTAAGGAAAGATGGAATTGCTACACAGTGTCTTTTCAATGATAGCGCTTGGGGCTGTCCAAGTGCTATCATTGGTAATAAAATCTTCCAGATGTTGATGGTTTATAGATCCCAGCATTCCTTACCATTGCTTATGCTGGTTAAGGTTGCTAGGACTTTCTGGCCAACAGCATCTCAAGGATCACATTAATTCATCCTTTGAGACATTGCTTAAAGGCAAAACAGGTATATGGAACAATCAAGAGCTTCCAAATACCGCTTTTGTTTTTAAGTAGCACATCTCTTGACCTGCCTTGATAATTCTGTCCTTAAATAATACCCAAGCTGCTGATCAAGGTTTTAAAAGAAGATGAGATATAATATCAAAGGAGTGATATCCACATCTGTTTTCCCCTGTGATATATTGTACATATTTATTCTGAGACCATATTTTTCAAACATACACCCAAGTCATTGGTACACCTTATATGTAGCATATTCAAAAATAATACCTTAAACTCTAGGACCTGCTGCTTGGTGCCTAGGAGGAAACATATTTTTATGGGTGTAAAGGTAAAAATCTTTTAGAAAAACTGGCAATATCTCCCAAGAATCTGCAAGGTGTCAGGAAGAGTGTGCCATTTCCTCACCGATAATCTGTACTTTTATCTTGCATGAAACAATTTTTCACACAAAAAAAGTCTATACTTCCTTGTACTTGAGAATGAAAGAGAATTAGAAATAGGTCCAATTTTCTTCTGAAAAGCAGGCTTCTTCAGCTTTCGATTGGCCTTTCTCATGACCCTCTATACAGGACGACAGATAATAAATATAATGATTTGTACTGAAAAGAGAGCTGGAAGGATAATGGTCCCAAACAGTGTAGTCTTTTATAATGTTACCATAGTAAATAATAGCAGGACCATTTGTATGACGGGAGTTAAGGTTGTAGCTATGCTTCCCTTTTACACACACACACACCACTTCCCTCCCTCCGTGGCACTGCATTCCCCTCCCATGTTTACAAGTTTGTAATCACATTTCATTAATTTTCTCTGAGTTTGTAATATCCAAGGTGTTACATAAATAGAAGGATTTTGTCTATTCACAACCAATGATGATTTATGCACAAGTCATTAACGGCAATGTTGTATGGACAAACTAAACAGTGATAAAAGACAATAGATGGCTTCTCTGTGTTCTTCACTGCATTTCAAACTGTGCTTGGATTTAAACTCAGGAAAGTCCCACTCTCTGCCTTTATAATCACTGCGAATAGGTTAAGGGCTAGTTCAGAACGCTGAAAACTGACTCCTGTCCTAGACCTAGATCAGAGCACCTGGTGATGTGAGAAAATCACTATCTAATGCCAGCATTGATTTGGGCTAATAGATTTTACATAATTTCTCCCAAACTTCACTGGGGCTAAGAATCAACAGAGTCACCAGATAGAAGAAACAACAACCGAGTTATGTGCTACACATTACAGTAACCATTGTCATTAAGGATGAGTTACTATACAGATGTCCGAGGACTCTCATCCTATGAGCACTTGGAGGACTCCCAAACTATATGAAGAGTAAGACAGAGAAATGTCACCAGCAAATATGTATTTAATTCATCCTAGAGAGCTAGTGCATTGTAGTAGTTTAAGCGTAGGGCTATGACTCTGGAAACCAGAGTTCAATTCCCTGCTCAGCCATTGGAACCTACTGAATGAGCTTGGGTGAGTTACACACTCTTGGCTCCAGCAAACTCCATAATAGGTCCCCTTTGGGTCACCAGAAGTTGAAAATGAGTTGAAGGCACACAACAACAAGAGGAAGCACACATTTTCAGACTATTTCTGACCTAAACTATAGATATATTATGGCATAAGCTTTCGTGGACTTGAGCCTGCTGCACTAGTTCTACAACTTTGCAACACAACAACATAGCTATCCCCTTGAATAACAGCGTCTGAGTCTGTAGTTTTGAGTATGTACTTTACCAATCAGACATAGATTTCACTTTCAGGACATAAGGATTTTTCTGGCCATGTTAGCTGCAGAAATCTGAGACTGGTAGTCCCAAAAAATAACTTCCCCAAGAAATGGGCAGAGGATGTCAGATAACATCACGATCCCAATAACTTCAACACAAAGGGAATGCCTCACTCTTTTCCAGGAACAGATAACTAACTCAAACAATTATTGAGATCTACACTCTGTTAGGTTCCTACAGTAACTTCTGAAAGGAAAAAAGAGGAAATGGGGGAAATGTATTTTTTATTATTTAGTCTTGTAAAATGCTGCCTCTGTAATGCATTCTCAAATATTTGTAGAAAACTCATTCTCTTTCCTCCCCATTGGGCATGTGACCAAATTCTACATCATGCAGATATTCACTTGACATTTGGTACTCTGTGGGTGGAGCCAGTTTCAAGAACAAATAGCTTGTCCAGGGGAATTGATATATTTCCTTTGAAAAACATGGTATCTAAGCCTAACACTAAGACTTCAAGAGCCATCAGGGTTGTCAAGGAAATCAAATCCCAATAGCACACAAGGCTGATTATTTCACAAAATTGCAGGAATGATTTTGCTATGTTCTATTCATAAATAAAACTGTAATTATAATAGCAAGCCTCCTAGATCTTTGTGGAACCACAGATAAAATGGTTAAACACTCACCAAATTAAAGGTGGGGTAGACATGATAAATAGCAATAGCACACAGCTTTTCAAAAAGGGATTTCAGGCACTGCATATTACTGGAAAAACACATACAGAAGGTATTGGTTGTGTCCTGCTGCCAACAATATGAGCATTTAGCGTTTCCATTTTTTAAAAAAATATTTCTTTAGTAGGCAGACAAATTTTAACAACACGAAATATTTTGCTTCTATGGAATGAACACCAATAGTTTAACATAAATGATGGAAAAAATCCAGGCTGTGTTGACATATTTTATGAACATTACGGGATGCCAGATTGGAGGTGTACATCTGTGTGGGTTGGCCAGTCATCCCACCGCCGTCTGTGTATCTGTGTGCTTAAATGAATTAGCTATTATAAAAACAGTGCATAAACAACTTTAATGTTCTACCCTTCACTTTCCTTCATAGAAAAATGGTCAGCTTCACTAAAAAAAAAAACCTATAGTGAAGAAAAAGAAAGATGTTTAGCTCTTCTTTGTTTAATACAATTGGATTTTAAAAATATTTAAAGAGGTATTATAAACATAATGTTTTTATATTAGTTTTGCACTATATTTTCATTGGTGCTTCATTGGAATGCTGTTATTTTGCTGTCCTTAGTGAACACTAGAAGTTTTGCCCACTAGTGACAGTAAATGCAGTTTGAAGAAACAAGGTTATCCAAGGTCACCTAGGTACTTACTCTCTTTTTAGATTTTCCAGTCATTAAAGCCATGATTAAGCTGATGGCTGAAAACTACCCATATCACTTAATGTTTTCAAACATGCCATAATGTCCTATGACAAATAAATATCATGAGCTGAAAGGTTCTATAGTGGAAAATAATAATAATAATAATAATAATAATAATAATAATAATAATACACGCCAAACTAATCTTGGACTTCAGAATTCAGACTGACAGTTTTGGAGCACAATACACCTGACCTCACAAACGTGTTAAAAAACAAAGTATGGATTGATGTTGCAATCCCAGGCGACAGCAGGATTGAAGAGAAACAACTGGAAAAACTGACACAATACAAGGATTTAAAGAACGAACTGCAAAGACTCTGGCACAAGCCAGTCAAGGTGGTCCCAGTGGTGATCGGCACACTGGGTGTAGTGCCTAAAGACCTTGGCCTGCACTTAAACACAATTGGTGCTGACAAAATTACCATCTGTCAGTTGCTAAAGGCCACCCTACTGGGATATGCACACATTATTCGCCGATACATCACACAGTCCTAGCACTTGCGAAGTGTCTAACATGTGATCCAATACAACAGCCAGCAGAGTGACCTTGTTTGCGGTATACTAATCTTGTTGTGTTTCAAATAATAATAAAAATATTTTTATACCGTTTTATCTCCCCAAAAGGTTTCAGGGTGGTTGCCAATATATAAGGCAAATATTCAATTGCCGGAAAGAAAACCATACAGACAATTACATCAAAATAAACACATCCAACATTAAAACACAACCTAATTTAACTTAACAAACAAAATAACAACTAAAAGCATCATAAAATACCAATATCCTGTTAAACAAACTAAAAAAATTAAAAACCGATTTCATT